AAGTGGCGGTGTGGAGGCGGCACTGCCCGCAGTTTATATTGGAGACTCTAATGCTCCCTAAATTCTGGTTTTCCAGAGAATAGTCTGTTCTACTGGTCGTTTTCCTCTGAAATGTCCCTTAATTTGTTTTTCATTCATCACAGATGCTGTGAACTGGACTCACACATCGTCTGCGCACTGTAGTGAGTCATTTATTCAACGAGTAGTTGTGAAAACATCTGTTCTGTGGGCTACCCTGGGCCAAGTGCTGCAGCCCATTCAGAGCCTGGAAGATGGGGGCCTGGCCTCTGGGGAGCCTGAGCCGCCGTGGGTGGGTCTTGGTGCCCTGGGACCAACAGGTAACCCGGGACGTCTGTGTCCTTCAGCTGGGTGCCTCTACACAGTCCTGTCATGCATCTGGGAGTCGGGGAGTGGGAGGGGGTGTGGGGTGTGGCCCCTGGGTGCTTGCACCGGAGCTGCAGGTGTGGTGGGTTCCTGGCAGGGCCTGGGTGAAGCGTCCTCCACTGCGGAGTCCTGTGCACCTGGGGACACTGCTGCTGCCTGGCCCGCAGCCCGATCCCGGGTCAGAAGTGCTGGTTGTGAGGATGAAGGTTTCCTAAAGCTGCCTAAAAGTTTATTACTTTAAAAATGACAACAAACACACGGGGTCTTTGAGAAGTTCTGGGGAAGAGGCATTAGGAAAAATCTGCACAGATTCGCAGTTGTTTTGGTGCTGTTGTCTTTGAGCGTCAGGTTCCCTGTGTGCACAGCACACAGCTGACCACGGACTGCGTGTTGCAGCTGGGACCTGCCTGCCTTCTCCGAGTACACTGTTCAAGATGGAAGACGCCACAGAGCCTTTACTGCCATCAGTGTTAGACTGTGAAGCCTGGTGCCGACCCTGTGTTCCCCTAGTAGAGAGCGGGAGAGGGAGGGAGGAGGCCTCGACGCCACCCCTGCGGGCTGCCTCCCCCAGCTCTTCCATGGCTCCTGTCCCTCCTGCTTTCACCTCTGTCTGCACCCATGCCTCTGTCCCCCCGCTGCCTGGAGAAACTGGGTGTCTGGGGGGCCAGGGTGCCACCTTCAGAATGATCTGTGGGGAACTAGGCCGGAGGCGGGAAGGGGCCTTGCCCTGCCACCTGCACCCGGATGCCTGGTTCAGCAGATGGCACGGGGATCCTCAGAGTATTCCCTCAAAGGCAGACAAATGTCTGCTCCCCGCACCCCTTCTCGGCCACAAGGACTCGGACCCACATCGTTTCCTCACCTTGTTCTCAGGAATGTCAGGGAGTGTGTGCTCAGGCAGGTTTGAACTGCTTTGTGTTCCCCTTATGGGAGTCTCAGGGAGCTCACAGGTGGACGTGTGGCACTCCTCGTGATGCAATTTAAAATTTAGTTTACTTACTTGAAAACTGAGGTTTCCCATCCCAAATGCCTGCAACTCCCAGAGTGGGCCAGGCCTGAGCCAGGAGCCTGGAACTCAATCCAGGCCTCCCCGGTAGGTGGCAGGGGTCCAGTTATTGAGCTGTCATCTGCTGCCTCCTAGGGTCTGCTTTAGCAGGGAGCTGGATTGGAAGCAGAGGCAGGACTCAAACCAAAAACTCCCGTATGGGATGCGGGAGTCCCAAGTGGTGCCCTAGCCACCCTGCCAAATGACTGCTCCTTGCAAAATGTATTCTCTCTCAGCCCCCACTGCCTGGAGTATTTTAGTTCTCTTTCCAAATGCTGTGGACATTTTTCGTTTCTCAGCTCAGAGAGGGCATCCATCCCCCGGAAAACCCTGTCTTGCGTAAAAGAGGGCAGGCCTATGCCTTCCGTTTCCTCTCCCATTGTTCTTGGCTCAAGCCCTGGCCATGGAAGTGCGGAGCCGAGTGCTGGGCCACCCGAGCCCTCAGGCCATCTGGGACAGCAGTTGGTGTCTCACTGACACTTGGCATCTTCAGAGGCATGAGGGGCAGGATGCGTGCCCTGCCCAGGGATGTGATTCAGCGGGGTGGGGTGAGAAAGGGAAGCAGGAAACAGTAGGAGCATGCGTGGCGTGTGTTTACTGAGACGACCCTGCAAGGGTTCGACGGCTCTGCTTCTCAGCACCATTGTCCCAGAGACCCCCTTGCTGCCTTCTGTCTTCAGTGGCCCAGTTTCCTGGTGAGTGACCCCGGAATTCCTCTCCTCCTTGCCCCTGTACAGTGTGGGTGCAGGGGGCAGCTGCAGGCATGCATTGCCCGTTGTGCCCTCAGCCGTGTTCATGGGGTGCCCTTTCCTCCATGATCAATCTTACAACTGAGGTGGACTCCCTGAGGCTCACTGGGTGTGTCCTTGGGACTGCACTTGGCCAGCATTGCAGTTCACTTGGCATGAGACGTGTGGTGACCATAGCATTGCGCGGGGGCACTAGCTGAGCTGTAGCCTGGGCCTTCTTGCTGTCCACGGCCAGCCGTCGTCATCCCTGGGCTTTGTCCAGCCCCCTGCTGGCTCCAGGGTCTCTATGAACCCCAGCTCCTCCCTGGGTCTGTCCCTGCTGGATCCTGAGCCCGTGAGGAGCCAGGGCTTCACCTTCATGGAAAGGGGGCTCAGCTAAGAGTTGCTGGAGAGATTGAGGTCTGCTTCTGTAGGAGCAGGACACCGGCTGCGGCCAGTGTGTTCCCCGAGAGCACACAGGGCTCATTCGGTGCCCCACGGGCCTCATTTGGGGGGAGCAGAGGAAGATTGCCAAGTGTTAAAGCTGGTGTTGGAGAGGAGCGTGTGTGGTGTGCGGTGATGGCTGCCGAGTTGCGGATTTCGGCCTCAGTCCCCTCAGGTGAAAGCGGCCCCCTCGGGCTGACCGCTGCCATCGGGAGGCCACATCCTCACTCGTGCCTGCGCCCAGGGACGGTGTGGCTGAGGCAGTTGTCTCGGAAGCCCGTGTATGTCCTGCGTCACGGGAACAGGTTCCAGTGCCCAGGTGTCCTGGCGCTGTGGTCAGGACGTGTGGCACTCAGGGGGCTGAGGGGAGCAGGACGCTGTGCTGTGTCGTGGGGGTGGGGGTTGCTGTGGATGCAGAACTCCTCGACCGTGGCGTGGTGGGTTTCTTTAAAGCATTCTGTATTGTAAGAGTGGCAGATGGATACACGCACAAAGGTCTTCATCCACCGGTTCACTTCCCACATGCCTACCACAGCCAGGGCTGGGCCAGGGCCAGGAACTACATCTGGATCTGCCCTGTGGATGGCAGGGACTCAAGTACTCAGGCCTTACCTACTGCCTCCTGGGTGCATCAGCAGGGAGCTGGGTCAGAAGTAGAAGAACCGAACTCCAGCCAGCACTCCACCGTGAGATGTGGGCATCCCCGGTGGCAGCTTCACCCGCTGCAACGCCGCTTCCGGCCTGTGGTCCTGTCTGGGTCTGTGGTGGGCAGTGCAGAGGTGGCGAGAACGCACACACCCTGGAGAAGCAGAAGTGCCCGGGGCATGTCTGGGGACAGGGAGCCCCAGACAGGACGGCAAGGGCCACAGGCCATGGAGATGTTAGCGAGGGCTTTCTGTGTGCAGATCTGCCTTAGGAAAAGACGGTCTGAGACGAGCACAGTGGAGCAGGGAATGGCGTGAGCTCACTGCCCTGTGTCCTGGGGGGCTGCACTGGCACTTTCTAAGATGGCCCCCTGTGGGGAGCCAGGCACAGAGCACACAGACCACTGTGTTTTTCTTATAATTGTAAGTTAACTCCCTGCCTCTCAGACCCCCATGAGGATGCTCACTGTGTTCTGGGACATAAAACCTGAAGTCCACGCGTGGGTGTTCATGAAACGTGCCGGAGAACCTGCAGGTGCCTGTGGTTGTCTGGAATCGTGTTGGTGTGAGCGGGCCCGGGCCCGGGCCCCTGTGGTTGCTGCTTCCCAGGGTCTTGGTGGGTGAGGTCTGTGCTCTGCAGTGAGTCTCGGGCCATGCTGCCTGCTCGCGAGGCTGTGCACACTTACCCAAAGCAAGGGGCGTTTCTTAAAGAGCCGCTGAAATCTTGTCCAGCACATTTTTATTTGAAAGACTTGCTCGTGGGCCGGCGCCGCGGCTCACTAGGCTAATCCTCCGCCTTGCGGCGCCGGCACACTGGGTTCTAGTCCCGGTTGGGGCGCCGGATTCTGTCCCGGTTGCCCCTCTTCCAGACCAGCTCTCTGCTGTGGCCAGGGAGTGCAGTGGAGGATGGCCCAAGTGCTTGGGCCCTGCACCCCATGGGAGACCAGGAGAAGCACCTGGCTCCTGCCTTCGGATCAGCGTGGTGCGCCAGCCGCAGGCGCCAGCCACGGCGGCCATTGGAGGGTGAACCAACGACAAAGGAAGACCTTTCTCTCTGTCTCTCTCTCTGTCCACTCTGCCTGTCAAAAAAAAAAAAAAAAAAAAAAAAAAAAAAAGACTTGCTCGTTAGTTATGAATAAAGGTTGTCCGGCAGCAGGTGTGTGGACTTGAGGGGTGAAACCCGAGGCACACCTGAGAACAGGCAGCAGGGAAGTGAGGGCCTGGCCTGAGCCCCTCCAGGTTTGCCTTTTCTGGCCTGTGCTCTGTCACTCTCTGGCTGCAACAGGTGACACTGATGGGAGTGGACGCCACTACTGCTCTGTGGGGCCAGTCACTCCGTGCTGTGGGTCTGGGGCAAGATGGCACGAGATGCCTGTGGAGGCTCAGGACAGGACCTAGCACACAGCCAGCATCTGGCTACTGATCACTGACCCCATGTTCCCTGCCTCAGTGGCAGGCCCTGTCAGAGCTGGCCTTGGGCCATCGGGTCAGTTCTCCAGGCTGTGAGCGCAGGCAGCCGGTTGGTAAGGGACACAGAGGATGGTGCTGTGTGCTGCTCAGGGCGGCGCAGTCTTCCTCTGGTGGTCCCTAGCAGAGCCCCCTGCAGGTGGTGGGAGTCAGGCTGGCAGGCCAGGTCCATGGTCCAAGGTTGCAGGGAAGAAGTGGAGCCACCAGTGTGATGGCCGTCGTCAGGGTCCCTTTGCCATTCAGAAGGTGCCAGTGATACCCATTTGAGTGCTCTGTCCTCTTTTCCAGGAACAAGTCCACTGCCAACGGAGACTGCCGAAAGGACTTCCGGGAGCGGAGCCGCAGCCCTATCGAGCGTGCCGTGGCCCCTGCAGTGAGCCTGCATGGTGGCCACCTGTATACGTCCCTCCCCAGCCTCAGCATGGAGCAGCCCCTCGCGCTGACCAAGAGCAGTGTGGACGCCAGCAGGCCAGCAGGCCTCTCGCCTACCCTGACGCCCGTGGAGCGGCAGCAGGTAGGCCCCGTGCAGGACACCTAGAGCCAGTTTTGGTGGAATGGTGTCAGAGAGCGGGACTAAGCTGGACAGCCGAGCATGGGAGCAGGGTGGGGAGGGGATACCAGGGCCCCACCCCACCCCTGCCTGGGCCTCACTGCTCAGGACCACTGGCCTGGGACGACACAGTGAACGCCCAGGCTTGTGTCCACGCCACACAGTGGAGCTGGGTTAGGAGTTCCGTGCCTCCCTCTGCGCATCAGCATTGGAGTGGTGTAGGTCAGAGGTCAGTGGTCGCAGAGCTTACTCATTCATGCTGGTCAGATACTTGTGCCTGGCACACACACACTCTTAAAGATAGGCTTCCTGGGAGGGAGGAGACAGCTGGTCTTGTGAGTGGGGTCTGGGCAGCTGTGCAGAGATGAGGAGGGTGGACGGTGATGGTCAGAACAGCGAGGAGACAGTCTGCCTGCTTCTGCACAGAGACATGGTGGACACCGGCGGTTTGATGCGCAGCTGCCCACTCTGCGGGGGAGCCCAACCTCACAGCCCCCTCTCCTTGATTTGTTCTTTTAACACAACGATGCGGATGCCTGCTGCGCAGGGTCTCGTGCTGGGAGCCTGGCAGGCACGCTGTGTAGCAGAGGCGGCTGCCGTGTGGTCATTTGGTCACCTTGTGGCGACAAGGGTGCTGGTTTGCTCTGATCAGACAGAACTGGGGCTGGGTTGTCGCCACCATTCATTTGCTCATTGTTCACTTGTGTCTGCCAGGCCCTCAGCAAAGCTCTGGGGATCCTGAGATATGGAAGGGCTGGGAGGGAGCAGCTGTGGCCCCTGAGCGACATGGAGTCCCATCAGGAAAATGGGTGCAGGAGGAGGGTGTCAGGCTCTCAGGCCAGGGTGAGTGAGTGGAGACACCATCAGCCAGGGCCCAGAATGTGCAAGCCATGGGGCACTCGACAAGGAATGGAGATCTTCGCAGACTTTTGACAACATCGGCAGTTAGTTTGTGGGATGTTTCCCATGAACTGTCTGGGACGTACAGATCGCCTTGGGAAGTGGTGCAGGACCCAACTGGAACCTAACTTCCACGACTCCATGTGTAGCCTTTGGGCTGTGGTGTCTGGGGACGTGGCCCTGGCAGCCTCCCAGGGTGGGACAGGTTGGGCACGGGGTGGCCCTGTCTCCCCTCTGGGCTTTCTGGCCCGACTGCTTCCAGGAGGTGGTCAGGCTCCTGGGTGTGTTGCGGTTGGGTGTTTGTCATGGCTGCCCTGTGAAGGCACTGGCTGGTCCCTGCACACAGCCTGCACTCTGTGCCCTGGGGCCCTGAGTTGAGGGGATTTCTGGCCATGGAACATAGTGGAGCAGGCACCTATCCCAGCGGCACTGGCTGCTGGTTGGCCATGCTGCCCTCGCTTCCTAGCCCTGTGCTGAGCTCTTCCCTGCACCAGCAGGTGTGGGCGGGCCCGCGTGCTGTTCCTGGGATACAGACGTGGGGTCCACAGCCCTGCTGGCCAGCCCTCAGAGGTTCCTCCTTTCCCAGGACACAGTCCCGTGTTGGTGCTGGTGGGGCGCACGCGCCATCCCAGACGCAGCTCCGAGCAGGGACATGGAGCCCCAGCAGCGCTGTGCTCAGATCCCTGGGAAGTGGGACCAGCACACTCCCAGCAGGAAGTGTCGCCCGTTCCTTTTTTTTTTTTTGGACAGGCAGAGTTAGAGAGAGAGAGAAAGGTCTTCCTTCCATTCGTTCACCCCCCAAATGGCTGCTACGGCCGGTGTGCTGCGCCGATCCGGAGCCAGGTGCTTCCTCCTGGTCTCCCATGGGGTGCAGGACCCAAGCACCTGGGCCATCCTCCACTGCACTCCCGGGCCACAGCAGAGAGCTGGCCTGGAAGAGGGGCAACCGGGACAGAATCCGGCGCCCCGACCAGGACTAGGATTAGCCTAGTGAGCCGCGGTGCCAGCCAACCCGTTCACTCTTAAGGAGAGGACAAAGAAAGCACGAGGGTGGCCTGGGCCAGGAGGAGATCCAGGGATTGTACACCCGGGGCACCTTGGGATCGGAGCCGTCAGCCAGGGTACATGGTGGGAGTGCAGATGTACCGTCCTCGGCACTGTCTGGAAGCCTGAGTTGTGAATGTCTGGCTTCCCCTGGGTGGGGAAAGGAGAGGGGGGCACCCGGGTGCTGAGCATGTATGTCTTGGGGGGGAGCTTCTGTGACACTACCCCTCATGCCCTGTCTCTCTGACACAATCTGAAGATGAAGAAGCATGCAGAGAGTGGCAGACTGTGGACTGTCCCCAGCGCCCAAGGTCAAGGTTCACCAAGGAGGGCCCCGCCCTGGCCTGAGCAGGCTGGGCAGTGGCAGGACCTGATACTCTTTGCTGTTGGCACCTGCAGTCCCAGGGCAGGCCGGGTGTGGGTGCTGCGTGGCTCCTGAGGGCTGCAGTTCAGCCGTGCTCACCTGAGGGTGGTGTAGCAGCCGCGGGGCAGGCTGGGTGCGGGCTGCCAGCTTCAGGTGCAAGTGATAGGCATGGCTGCCCCCCAGGTGAGGGGCACACCTCAGCCCTCGCCATGCCCCCCTGCCTGTCTCCCACACAGAGGAGAGGGAGTTGAGAGCCAGGGAGCCCGTGACCAGGCCGGCCCGCCCTTTAGTCCGTTGCCCTTGTGGTGCCACAGGGGCTTGGCTGACGCAGAGCCGCCGTCCCCCCACCCTCCTGTCTGCCTGCTGTAGAGGAGAGGGCTGGAAGGAAAGCCCCTCCCTCTGGTTGGCACCACCGTCAGCCTCGGCCCTGGTCCTCCTTGGTGACTTGCAGTGCGGAGTGTTCCCATCTTGGCCTCCGGCGTCACGGGACGCTCTGACTGATGCCAGGTTCTTACTGGCCCAGCACTGCGCCCGGGGTGGGGCTCAGCTCCATGGTTCTGGGCCTGCTGAACCCGCAGCCCCGGAGGGCTTCCTGGAAGCTGTTTCTGGAAGGGTCAGGGCAGAGCAGCCTGGGGCAGTGGGTGGTCCTTGCCTCCGTCACAGGGCCTTTGGGCACCGTGGAAACGGCTTGAGCTGGCTTCCCCAAAAGCCCCACACCAGAGTTGGCAGGCAGGTACAGGGTGGTCCCAGGGACAGAACAAGACACTCGGGGGCCAGGCCACTCCAGGACCCTGAACAGTGGGAGCGTGGGCCTTCCTCTCACCTAGTGAGGAGGGGACACACCGCTCTCTGCAGCCAGGCCTTTGTCCATCACTGAGGACCGTCGCTGCTCAAACATCCGTCCGCCGGCTCTCCCTCGGAACTGCTGTTGCTTAGCAGTTAGACTCCAGTTCTGAACAGAGGCACAGATGGCTCCCCAGGGGCAGCGGGCTGGGTGCCTGGGGAGCTCACCGAGTCTTTGTCCTGCAGAACCGGCCCTCTGTGATCACCTGCGCCTCTGCCGGCGCCCGCAACTGCAACCTTTCACACTGCCCCATCGCGCACAGCGGCTGTGCTGCACCCGGGCCTGCCAGCTACCGGAGGCCACCCAGTGGTGAGTGCTGGGCCACTGCCCATGCCCCCCAAGACCCCCGGGCCCCACCGTTACTAGTATTCGATGCCCTACCTCCTCCCTGAACCTGCGCCTCGGCCTGGCCGCGAGCTGGTGCTGACCGCTGGCCCACTTCCCCTGCAGCGGCGGCCTCCTGCGACCCAGTGGTGGAGGAGCACTTCCGCAGGAGCCTGGGCAAGAACTACAAGGAGCCCGAGCCGGCGGCCAACTCCGTGTCCATCACTGGCTCCGTGGACGACCACTTTGCCAAAGCTCTGGGTGACACGTGGCTTCAGATCAAGGCGGCCAAGGATGGCGCGTCCAGCAGCCCCGAGTCAGCCTCACGCCGGGGCCAGCCCGCCAGCCCCTCGGCCCACATGGTCAGCCACAGCCACTCCCCCTCCGTGGTCTCCTGAACGGGGCGCCGCCTCCAGTGACCCGCGGATCTGCATGGTTTGCCAGAGCTTCGAACAGTCAGTGCTTAAAAAAAAAAAAAAAAAAAAGGAAAAAAATGGGGGTGGGAGGGGGGAGCGGGCTGGTTTATTCGCAAAAGCCGCGTTGCTGGGATGACTGTTCTGTTCTGTTCTCGCTTGGCATTTGTTCGTGGGCCTCGGATACGACCGCAGGAGCGACGTGGGAAACTGTCCTCCTGCCTCCTACCAAAGAAACCTCCGCCCGGCCCGAGGAGACGCGCCGCCGCGCACGCTCCGCTCTCACCTTCCGAGGGCAGGGCGTGTGTGGCCGTCTACTTGAAGAGAACTGTCGGGTCTGCTTTGCACTACGGAGGAGGACGCCGTGCGCGCTCCCCGTGTGCGCGGGTCGGAGGCGCCGTTCCGTGCAGGCCGCAGGCCTCCTCCGTGTGGACGCCGGGCGCTGGCGGCCGACCCGCACTCCGGCCCGGGCCTTGATCTTGGTGCGGTGTCCGGGCAGCAGAGTGGCCTCTTTCGAGAGTTGCAGCCCGACAGACTGACTGCTGGTCCAGTTGTGCTGAGAGACGCGTGGATCCCTGCGTGACCCCGGGCGCCCCACGCCGAGACATTCCTGACCCCACCCCGTTACTGCTGCGTCTATTACCGTTCGCTGAACTAACAGCTACTAACGAGAAACGAGGGCGCCCCTGCCGGACCCCCGCCCCTGCATGAGAGAGCAGGGACACGCGGGGTCGCTGGTAAACCCAGGACAGGGCCCGCGTGGGGCACCGGGAGGGGCCGAGCTCCCGCTGCGGTCGCAGGGCGGCTGCAGCCTTCCAGAAAGCAGAGCCACACCCGGCTGCCCGCACGTCTCCCTCCCACCCTCCTGGGCTTCCAGGCTTGGGCATCCAGGCCCCGGGTCTTCTGTAGGAAAAATGCCGTTGCGACCCCTTTTTTATATAGGTAACTAAGACCATCATTACGCTGCGCGTAAAGAATGTACAGACATTTGTAGGTATTTTTGAAGAACAATTAATTTGTTAATGATATGTAGCTATTTAATTTCCCCCTTTCCTATTGTAATCATTCATTTTGTTTGTCGTTTGGAAAAAAAAGTTGATCTTTTTTTTACCGTAGATGTCTCTGTCCAGTGCAGGAGCACAGGTATCTGAGAACACCGCGTCTGCATTCATAGCCACTAGTTTGTTACTGCTGCAGGCTACTGAGCGTCCCCGGAGCACCCCTGCCGGCCAGCTCTGCGCGGCTGTCAGTGGAGGGGGCGGCGGTGCTGGTGGCCGGGCCCCAGCGCACCCACCTATCTGGGATAGGCGGTGCCCAGGAGGGGCGACAGAGGAGCAAACCCTGCACCCTTCTCTGTGTGCGCACCACGGCCTCGGGAGGCGCTGCCCAGAGCCGAGCCCGGTGCGTGCTGCCCCGCCCCCTCTACATCTGTAATATACCATTCTCTGTGGCCTGTTTTTCCTGGAAGAAGAAGAAAAAAAAAAGGTTTGGCAGGCCATCTTTTTTTTTTTTTTTTTTTTTTTGTACTTAAAAGTAGCCTTAAGAACAATAATAAAGTGCTCTTAAACCACGGCCTGGTTGTGTGCGCTGCAGGAGGGAGCGAGGAGCGGCGTCCCTGGTGCCAGAGGCAGCCCGGGCTGGATTGGGCTTGGGTTCCAGGGAGCGCCTCGGGCAGGGTCACCACGGGTGCCAAGGACAGGCTACCTGGGTTTCCACACCCGGCTCCAGAAGCCACCACGTGCCCTCTGGCTCTCAGCACGGAGTGCCGTGGGCGGGGGAGGTAGCCTATAGGGCTGCAGCTTCTCCCCGGGCCCTGAGTGGGGGGCACGGATGCACACCCACCACTAAGGACAGCTGGGAGGTCTGGCGTCACTAGGCACCCTCTCCACCCAGCGCTGAGAGGCGACTCAGAGAAGGGCAGACCCAGCGTGGGCGGGGAACCTAGCAGTGCGGGGGCTGAGGGTGATGCCCCCCACAGCAGCTCCCACCAGGAGCTTTTCCGCTGGGCCCCTGCCCCTGGAAGCTTAACACACACCCGTGACAAGAAGCGAAGAACAGTGCGTGGTGGAAGCTAGCCCCGGATCAGTGGCGAGACCAAAGCCAAGGTTGTTATTGAGTTCAGAGCTGGCGGAATGAGGAGCCATGAAACGCACAGCACCTCTGGGTGGAGGGCAGTGGAGTCCTGGGGCGGGGCAGCAGCTGGGGCCGACGACAAGCGCTCCTTGGTGGCTGTCTCGCACTCAGACGGTCTCCTCGTCGCTCATGTCCCAGATCTGTGTGGAAAAGTGGAGACAGCTGCGATACGGAGACAGCCGAGGTGCAGTCACCCAGAGCTGTGCAGGTGTCGAGGGTGCGGGGCATGCCTGCACGGTGAACCGGATCTAAGAGAAACTCCCCAGGTAAGCGACCCAGCCCGTGCAGAGCGGGGCGCGCCTGCACGTCATTGTCACCTGGCTGTGAGTTCCCCGCTCACTGGGCCGCTCTGACCTCTATCTTAGGTGCCAACACTAGGACTCAGGCAGGACCTGGTGAGGTCCAGCCAGAGCAAGCCTGCTCCACCTGGCTGTAGAGGGTCTGGGGTAGGATCTCAAGTGTGTGTCCTGGGGGGAGGGGACACACAAGGTTCCTCTGAGACTGACCCCCCTGGGGCAAGCACGGGGATGCCACTATGAGGGGAACAGATGAGCGGGACAGGTCCTCGACAGGAGACCCCGCGGCGCAGGCGGCCAGGGCAGCACGCAGGTCTCTGGGCCCCGCATACCCTGGCCCCGTGGACCTCCACCCTCGGACGGGTTGCAGCGACACTGGCCTGGCCGCGGGGAGAAACGCTGTGTGTACCTGAGGCAGGCCTGGGGAGCCGGCGGGCCCGGTCAAGGTAAATACTAACACCACTCTGGCTTTGAAAGTCAAGGAAGTGGCAACAGCGAGAAGCAAGTTTGCTTTCTCTGAGCCAGGGGTGGGAGTAGGGGGCATCCCGGTTTTGCACAAGCTCGGCCGTCTCCGGACTTCACACGGGGCTGTGAGATGCAAATAGCAGCGCGCGTGCCCGGGGCCCCAGACTCGAGCACAGAGCACCGCCCCTGAAGCCCGGCTCCCTGCGCACCCACCTTTGGTGTGGGCCCTCTTGGCTCTCCACGGCTGAGTGGGGGGGAACCCTGGTCCCTCCCTCTCCGTAGTTCATGGAACACAGCCGTGGAGTGCTCCGTGGGCGGGCGACTTGCACTTGCCACACCATGGGGGCAGGCAGCATGGCCTGGGCTCATGCCGGAGGAAGGGGCTGGCGCTGGCTGCAGTGGTGAGGGGCAGAGGGCGAGCCCTGCAGAACGCGGCCCTCTACAGACCGCCTGCCCGCCTCCGGGGAGCACTAAGCCCAGGCAGGGCTGATGGGCAGGCGGGGGTTCTGCAGTGATGAGTGTTCCCAGCTGGCCAGAGGCCAAGCCAACAGGGCCACCACTTGAACCCCCAAAGCCGTGAGCTGCGGGAACCCTTCCTCTACTGAGCGAGTTTCCTCAGGGAACACCTCGTTGCCAGAGAAGCCAACGGCATCATCCGGTTAGAACAGGACGTGGTGAACATGGTCAAGTGCACAGGACACAGGAAATGAGCCTCCAAGCCAGTGCCGCCACCGCCCCAGCATGACGGCTTTTCCTGGTGACCCTGGAAGCTTCGCGGGGTCTGGGATTAAGCAGAAAAGCCTGGAGGCCTGAGCAGCGAGAGCGGGAGGTGGGGAGGTGAGCGCGGGGCAGAGGGGCTGACTCCAGGGCTCACCTGCAGAGCCACGGGAAAATGGAATGCCTGTGGTAGGTCACCTTTTGTGTTAGCGGAAAGAAAACAACTGATTTTCTGAAAATAAACACAGGCATCATCCATCTGAAATGATTTCACACGCCTACGAGAGGGCTGGGTGTGCACGGAGCACACACGGGCCCCTGACCCTGGAGTCAGATACATCGGAAAAGCTAAATAACCAAAAACGAGCAGCCACGGAAATCGGACCTCGCCAAAATCAAAAACGCGTGTGCTCTACAGGCCACGCGCAGGAGGGAGCTAACCGGCTTCCGTCTGGAACACAGACGTGTTCCGCTCGCTGTGGCACAAGCCTGCTCCGCTGCCGACAAGCACACGACGAGACCCTCGGACATCCTCACGTCGTTCGCTCCGCACACCCCACACGGTGCTGTCAGGGACGGGAGTGTCCGGCAGTTCATTAAAGAAAACAGAACGTGGGGCTGGAGGCGTGGCGCGCGGGTGGGGTAGGCCCCGCAGAGGGCCCCGTCAGCCACACGGAGCCGAATGGAGCTCCTGGCTCCAGCTGGTGTGGCCGGCTGGGCAGTGAACCCGCAGGTAGTATTGCTCTTTCCCCTCCCCCCTCCCCGTCACCCTGTCTTTCAAACTGAGCTCTTGTTAAAAAGCTTTAACGTGGCGTCCGGAGCTACCACATGCAACAGCTCGGTCGCCCGAGAAATCAGAGCAGACGTCCACACCAGACTGTCCGTGTGGACGTCCCTCGCATCACCGCCAGGAGTACAAACATGGATGCTGGCGGCACCTGTCTACCCGCACGCCTGCCTCCCCTGCACCGCCCTTGCCGGGGACACGGGATCCCAGCTTTCTCTGCCTCATCCCGCCACGGATGGTCAACGTAGTTCCTTCTAGAAAGTCTGCTCCGTGTACTGCACTCACGGCAGGGGGAGACCCGAGGCCCGCCCCCTGCCTTCACAGCCCGGGCTGGGCTGATCAGGGTCAGTGGCTGCCCTGGGCCTACAGGAGCTGCACTCCCACGTGCAGCTCCAACACAGCACGGCTGGCAGCCGCCAGGGTGCCCCAGTCCTGCTCCTGGGAGGGGACCCTGCCCTCATGGACAGAGGTGGCGCCCCTTCCCTGCTGACCCCCCAGAGCGGGGGGCCCAGAGGCACGCGCGGCTGGACAGTGTAGGCGCTGGCTGGCAGGGGACCTGCCCTCTCCCATGATGCCTCAGAGCAGGATGAGCTCCATGGGATGCACAGGGCATTTCGTCACGAGGGCGCGGGCTGAGGCTGGGGGGGCCAGGGGCCGGGGTGGTGCTGAGGGGGCCTGGTGGCTCCCCAGGGAGTCACATATTCCGAAACAGAGCTGAGGGCCCGGTTAGCCCCACGCCACACCCTCAGCTCTCGGGCTCGCTCCTCAGGGCCGCCCCCGGCCTGTTCTTGCAGTGCCCAGAGGCGTGGCCTGCAGACGGAGACGCGGGGTTAGGGAGCTGGGGCTCCACCCTAGGGGCCGCGCAAGCAGGCGGCTACTGGCCCTTCGTTCTAGCACTCAGGCCGGCCAGGCGGGCTGGGGAGGAGGGGCATGGGGCTGGCGCTCAGCTTGGCTCTGCCATGGGTGGTCTGCTCCAGGCCCTAAGGCTGGAACATTCCAGTAGAAATGCCAGAGGACACCCCCCCCCACCCCAGAGGTCTCAGGGAGAAACCTGAAGGGCGGGTACAGGGAGCAGGGCTGGGCCAGGCGGCAGGGTGGGGGCTAACCCAGGCCTGGGGCGGCAGGGCTCCCACCAGGTAGTGGCCAAAGCAGAGGCACGGAAGCATCTGCCCAAGACGGCCATGCATCTGGGCACAGCCGCCCCCTCTGACGCTTCGGAGTCCTGTGGTGGCCGGGACACGGCGGCAGTGACTGTCGCTGAACGGTCAGCAGGCCCAGGAGGCCGAGGGAGGAGCAGGACTCGGCCTTCTGACAGAGGACGAGCCAGTGGCCATGCTGGGGTCCCCGGGCGCCCGGCAGCTCCCCCACCCGGCAGACACGGAGCCGCAGTGCGCGGTCCCCGCCTGGCGGCGTGCAGCCGGCCACCGGCGTGAGGGATGGTCTGTCAGGAGGCTCTGAATGCAGCTCCCAGACCGCCAGGCCGTGGGGAGCCGCCGCCTCCGGGCAGCCCAGGACCCACCTGGGCTGGGGTCGTCTGTTCCAACACCAGCAGGGATCCCAGGCCACACCGACCGCGTCTCGCATTACCTTGGCGCTCTCCTGCCCACGCCTCGATACACAGGCCTCTGCAGAGCCAGCCTCTGCCTGCCGCCACAGCCCCGCCAGCTCGGGCCAGACGGGCCGGCTCTTCTGGCTGCCACTGGTCTCACACGCCCTT